AAGAGGCACAGGAGGATAGGAGGAACGGGGCAAAAGCAAGACCAAAACCCAATAGGGTAAACATTAAATCATGCAGCTCCATGTCCAGCACCCAGGGCAAAGATGTGAACTCCAAAGGGCTCGGGCAGCCTCACCTGGAGAACACAGCAAGCTGCAGCTATTATGGCCTCTCTCTCAGGCTGGCTCTGCTCACTGTCTGCAGCTTTCCTCAGTGGAAAATCCACATTTCTGTCTTCTCCATCTTCCTGGCATTTCTATTATACTTTTGGTTTTGATATTACAGCTGTATATACTGCTCTTTCAGGGGCACACTGCTTAGCCTCCCAGGCCCTCTTCTGAAATCTGAGTGGAAGCTTTCCTAACCCCACAACTCTTGTATTCTGCATGTTAGTAAAACTAGTACCATGTGGATAACCCCAAGATCTGCTGCAAGCTCAAGCAATAGCTGGGTGCCCTTGAGTCATGGCTGTAGGAGTTTCTGTAGCCTGGATGACTGAGCTCTGTGAAACAAATTCCTACAAATCAATTCTCTAGCTGGCCCTTTTCAAGTACAGAGGCCTGCAGCTTTCTTTTTAAAGGAAAGTCTTTTACCTTTGAACCCTTGAGGCTGTGAAGAGAGGAGTCTTGCTGATTCTTGTGATACTAGCATCTTTCATTACTGCCTAGATGCAAAGTACTTGGCTTCTTTTTATTTTCTTTAATTTTATTTTAAAGAGGGTAAAATTAAACACAACAAAACAGAACATAAGAAAGCAATGTAAGAAACATAGATTTCAAAGCAAGACAACCAGAGATCTTATCTATCATATTGTCTGTATATATTGTCTATATAGCTGTCTATATCTTTACTACAGTGAATTCATACAAAACAACATAGTATAAAACTGATCTGAACAGGATGATGAAGGTGTTTTTAGGTCTTGAAGACCTTGGCTTCTTTTTAATAATAATATTCTAGCAATCAAGTTCTCCTCAGTCAAAATTTTGCAGACTCCAACTTTACAGGAGCTTCCTTTCTGGTAAAACTCAAAACTTTTTAGGTGGGATTTTTGCTTCAGTTTCTCAGTGTGTAAATCTCACTAAATGTAGTATGCAGGGGCTGGGGATTTAGCTCAGCGGCATAAGTGCCTGCCTTGCAAGCAGGCAGTCATGAGTTCGATCCCCGGTACCGATAAAAAGGAAAAAGACAAAAAAAAAAAAAATGTAGTATGCAAGCAGTAATCATATACAACCTGAACACTGAACTGCCTTTAAATTTTCCACTGCCCTTAACTTCATTCTTCCACGAAGTATCAGGACATAAGCAAAACGTACAGGAACTTTTTTTTTGTCTTTTTGAGACAAGGTCTTGCTGTGCAGTTCAGGCTGGCCTTGAGCTCACTTTGTAGCCCAGGCTGGTCTCAAACTCGCAACGATCCACCTGCCTCAATCTCTCGAGTGCTGGGATTATAGGCATGAGCCACTACACCCGGCTTGTACAGGAACTTTTTTTTTTTTTTTGTCTTTTTTGTTTTTATCGGTACCAGGGATCGAACTCACGACTGCCTGCTTACAAGGCAGGCGCTTATGCCGCTGAGCTAAATCCCCAGCCCCCTTGTACAGGAACTTTTTGCCAAAGCATAACACGCACAGCCTTAAGTCCAACCCCAAGGGAGTTTCCAACTAGGAAACTAGATTTGTCTTTCTGGCTGCCTGCCTGTCAGCCTTGTAGTTTTCTATGCTCAAACCAAAATGAAGCTCAACTCCCAGCATTGGAGAGCTACTTCTCTGGTCAGCACCTCTAAACTTGAAAACTCTTCCCATGAACCAGGGCCAGGCCCCTGCCTCGTGTGTCCCACATGGGGCCCACAGAAGTCACTGCACAGATGCTTCTCCCTCCTTAAGGATAATGCCCCCATGACCAGGCCTCAGGAAGCCCCAGCTCACTTGGAGCTGCCTGCCACAACCGCCCTGCCCTTCCTGCCATGGGGCTGGAAATGCCAGCACTCACTTTCCCAATCCTGCAGCCTATACCGCCCCCCACCCCAGCTGCCTGACATTCCCCACTTGGGATCCAAACTTGAATTGAGGAGCGTAATGTGGCAAGGGTGAGGGGAGAGAAGCGGGTTTTTGGGATCACAGCCCAGGGATAGGGACAGTGTGGGCTCCTGGCCAACCAACTAGTTTCTGAGCCTCAATGTCCCTTCCATAAACATCTCCTCTTCTGGGATCAGCCAGAGTCCATTTCTGTCACCTGTATGTGGTTCTGGCACCCAGACTGCATGTTACTTTGGAGAGTCATCGTGTGCTCGGCCCCACCTGCCACCTTCTGTGTGAACCCCGAGTCCCCACACTGTGCCATAGGTGCCTCCTGTGTCCTCCCATGTGCCAGCACAGCTGGGCTTGCCCTGTAGTCCGGCAAGCCTGGCTTCCGCATGGGCCACACCCCATCAGCCAGGGTTGTTCTTGTCATGGCCCTCCAGGTCTCCCCTGGTCTCCTGAACATGCACCTATACTGGAGTTTCACACTCCCAGGCTCACAATTCCTTCTCAGGCAAAGCACATGAGCCCCCTGTAACCATGGGCTATGAATACAGTTCCATCCTTACCCCAATCCCAGCTGCCAGGCCCCAGGAGAGTGGCCAGGTGGAAAGGCCAAATGCCCTGGGAGGGACTTTGTTTCTCCTGCCACCTCTGCAGGAAGTGGGGGTCCCTGCAACCCCAGCAGAGTTGGGCTTGGGATGTGGGGGACCCGGGTCTAATGCCTCCATCTTGGCTGTTTGTTCCTGTGGACCACAGTGCCTGGGAATGTGTGTCTCTCCAGATGGCCAGGGAGGACCCGGAGGAGAGACTCTGAGTGTCACACGCCTATCTGCCTGCCCCTCCTGCCACCTGAAACCATTCCCAGGACAGATGTGGTGAACCTCACTTCCCGTACCCAAGCTATGTGCCGCTGTCAAGCCAGGAGCTGATGGTTCTGGGATGGCCCAAGATCTGATCTGATCCTGACAACACCATTAGCTTCTTGGCCTCCCTGTGGGATGACCCCCAGCATGCAGCCCATCCTGCCAAGCCCCCACTTCCAGCCACCCCTGTCCCCAGCTCCAAGGGAGCCCCTCGGTGGTCTGTTACAGAATGGTCCCCAGCACTAGGCAGGCACAAGGCCTGAATGCTCAGTGGGACTGCACCCCTAGAAAGTCTAGGATATGGGAGGCTTCCAGAGGCAGCTACAGCTCTGCTGGGAGGGGACAGTCATCACAGCATCTGGCCCGCTCCTGCAATCACAGAGGGTGACAGTCTCTGAGGCCACCCTTGGCCCGGGCTCTTGGCAGGATCCCCACCTCCAGGCTTGTCCACCCAGGCCTAGATGGAAGCCACTTCTGCAGTGGCACCGGCATACTGCAGTCACCATCTTTCCTCATCCATCTTGAAGGCAGTGGAGGCTGGGAATGCTTAAGTGGCTGCACAGCCATGGCAAAGGTGGCTGTGCTGTGATGGCTGGGCCGTGAGTCCCAGCCACACTCCCACCTACCCTGGCTGGTGAGGGCTCAGGACTCAGGAAGTGGGGAGACTGGGCCACCATAGATGGTCATGACCTAGATTACACATGGCAGCACCCTCACCAAGAGACGCACTGCCAAGGTCATGTGACTACCTAGAACCTTGCATGCTACCTGCGCAAAGCCAGCCTCTCCTACCCAGAGGTGCAGGCAGAGGCCCACAGCCTGGGCACAGAGGACACCATAGACGGTGCCCTGGCTTGGGCAACAGCCTCCAGGCTGCCTTGCAGAGGCCACCATTGGTGAGTGGGCTCATGCTGGGAGGAGACTCATGCTGGGGTCTGGGCATAGCCTGGCAGGACCAGCTGACCACCAGCACCCAGGGGCAGGAACTGTGGGGCCTTTGGGCAATGACACTCTCCACTCTCCAACTCCCCACTGGTCACCCTACCCTTGCCACATGCCCTCCAGTGCCCAGCATCAAAGGCCTGTCTGTCCCCTCCCCTTGGAGGCCTTCAGGGACACAGTAGTCCCTGAGAGACTGTGCTCATGCCCTACTGCAACAGCAGGCCCCGCCCACGTCCTTGCTGGCTGCCTGACACTTGTTCCCAGTCCTTGCTGGGCTCCTCCTGCCTCCTCACAGCCTGGTTCCCCTTGACATATAGCCCTGTGAGGGAGCCCTGCAACAGCCTGGGATGTGAAGCCTGGGGGCACACTGCTCCTGGACGGGGGCCTCAGGGCAGACACAGGAGCCACAGTGATGGAAAAAGCAGGGAGGGGAGGTAACCAAAGAGGGCAGGATCAGGCCCAGGCTAGAAACCTGAGCTGCCGGGGGCCACCTGGGAAAGTGGAGGAAGGTTGGGTGGGGCAGGGTGTGTGTGCATGTGTGCATGCATGTAGCTGTGTGTAGAGCTCTGTCCACATGCACCCTGGAGTCCTGTGTCTGTGCTTATGCCCTTGCGTGTTAATGTGTGCGCTTATACTCGCAGCAGTAGGTGTCATGGGTGTCTGTGTGGCCCTATGGTGCTGTCCCTGTGTCACCTTGGGCAGCTGTGTCCCAGGCCTCTGTGTGCTGTCCATCTGGGGCTCCAGGTCACTGTCACACATTCCTACCTGAGCTTTTATGTTCTCAGCCTCTGGGCCTTGGGTCCCTGTAACTCTCCCACTCCCAGCCCAGGCCAGGGCCTGGGTGTCCAGCCTCACAGACTCTAGGATAGAGTTAGCCATGCATTTCTCAGCCCCTGAGCAGGTCCCAGAAGGGCTCAGCCACTCTGTCCTGACACCATGCCATGCTGAGGCCCATAGGTAAGGCCAGGCGGTAAGAGATCCTTTTTCCTCTGCCTCCTGGGCCTGATATCCCTCACTCCCACAGGAAACAGAATGAGGAGGTGATTTGACCCCAGTCACTGTGTCTTGAGCTCCTAATAGGTCCCACGCTCTGAATCTAGCCCCAGCCTATGCCCTGCAACCCACAGGGTGCCCTGAAATTGTCCTTGCCCACTGAGTTCCAGAGACATGCTCTGCACTGTACTGTGTTCTTTATTTCCTGGGCATTTTCCTGGACTCCACAGCTGGGTCACATGGTCCTGAGGGGCTGGCACCCTGGTGAGGGAATGCAGGAGGGCCGGCTTGAGGGCCAGGGGCTCTAACCGTCCTTGTGGATCCTGGATGCTAGCTGGGATGCAGCACCATGGTCACCTTTCCAGGGTCCCTCTCTCACCTGGGCCCAGCCTCAGCGGGACGCTGGGTATCGGCAGCCATAGGGCGTAGCCTGGAAGGAGTCAGTGGGGGTCGGGGCTCTGCAGAGAGAAGAGCCATGGGGCAGGGCACTCAATTCAGGTTCTCAGTCTGCCATCCCTGTCTTTGGGTTACACCTCCAATGCCTCTGCTACCCAAGGGTCACTGTGGTAACAGCAGTGAGCAAGGGGACTCCCAGGATGGAGAGGACGAGGCAGACGAGGGTGCTGAGGGCACAGGGGGTGCACTACCTTGCCCTGTGGAGGTGCTGCAAGCTCTCCGGGGCGGTGGGGCTAGGCTCCAAGCATGTGGGGCCCTGGTTGAGAGCGTAGCCACTGGGCTTCAAGGGTTGGACACCACCTCGGGTCCAGCCTTCCCGGTCCAGCCCCTTGGGGATGTTCTCGAAGAACCTAGGGTGGAGGGGTCACTGGCCACAGGTGCTCCAGCCTGAGGGACCCACTGTCCTTTCCCTGACCCAACCCCTGACGCTGAGGAGGCATCAGGGAAGTAAGGAAGTGTTTTGGCAGTGACCCCCTGGTCATGTCCCATCCCTCCACCTTACTATTGAGCTTGCTGTGCCCAGGCAAGGCAAGGAGACACAGACTCGGGGCCCTGCAGTGGCCCACAAACAGAGTGTGGCCACCCCAGCAAGGAACAGAGGTTACCCTCACCCCAGGACAAGGCTGCCCTGGTAGGGCAGGATAGGTGAGGGGCTGGGCTTCTGGGGAAGGGTAGCCACCAAGAGGGGCAGGGGAATGGGGCACAGTCAAACCCACTCCTACCATGCCTGCCCCCCGCCCCCCGTGTGCACTGCAGCAGGGAAAGCACTTGCCCTCATCACTTGCCTCAGGCCTGGGCCCACAGCAGGACTCGAGGTGGCTCAGTGCCCTGAGCCCAGTATAGGGACCATGAGCTGGGGTGGGGGGATGAGCAGGAGAGGGAGGGCCAGGGACCCCTTGGAATCCTGAGGTGTGGGGTGTGTGAGTATCCATCACAGGTGGCACAGAGGAAGCCAGGGGACTGTCATGGGACATTGCTGCCTTTACATCCTCCTGTCATGCCTACCCATGACCCTACCGGGAGCTTCCCTGGCTCTGGGTCCCTCTTCCGGGAAGGCCCCTAATGCTTGCCCAGGGCAGGCACAGCACGGAGCCCTCCTGCCAATCCTCTCAATCCCTGCCATGGCCCGAGGCAGGAGGGTGTTTAATAGTTGTGGTTGCTACAGACTCCCCTGCACCCCTACCGTCCCTACCCACAGCCTGACCACTGGGGTCTCCTCTACACTGCTCAATGTCTCCCTGGGGCCTCTGCTTTTTAGGGTACCCCCAGAGCCCTCCACTGGATTTAGCCCTTTTTCCAGGGCCCACACCCTGTACTCAAGGAGTCTAGCCTGAGGCCCGGAGCGGGCGAGGAAACCCACCCCTGGCTGTAGGTGGTCAGGTATCGGCTGTCCCGGTCAGGGTCATGCAGGCTGCGGAAGTGGCTCGTGTTATTAAGGCTGAAGCCTGTGGGCTCCTGTGGCAGGGGTGGAGGACATTAGGCAACAGTGGGGATAAGATGTGGGATGTCAGGTGGGGTGTGGGATGGGCCTGGCACAGAGGATGGGGGCTCACCTTGGACCCCACAGCCTGGCGACCCAGCAGGGCCACATTGGTCTGCTGCATTGGCCGGGGCGGTCGGAAGTGCCCATGGGTTGTGCTGCTGGGCACAGGGCCTGGAGAGGTCACCTGCTGGGCACAGGGCACAGTGAGGGGCAGGGACGTCTGCCCACCCTCTGCCCAGAGTCCCAGTCTTTCCAGAAGTCCCGTCACTCACCCTGGGGTCCAGTGTCCTCCTCTCATTCACTCGGCTGTAGCCAGTCTCCCGCTCAGAGCCGAGGGCCAATACTGGCAGGAAATCACTTCCCTGGGGCCACAAGATAGCCGTGGGCTCCAGGGCATAGCACCCCCCTCAACTTAGCTTCCCTAAAGTGGCAGCTCCATCTGTACCTGGGAGTCAGTCATGGGGAGAAAGTCTGCCTTGGTGACACTGCAGCCAGGAAGGACCTGGGAAGGGGTGCAGAGGAGCATCAGGTGGAGCATCAGGCCAGCCATGAGGCCCTGCCTACTCTGCCTCCAGCTCATCAGGGCCCAGATTCTAAGGGTTCCATGGCAGGACCTGAGAGGGTGACTGGATGTCCAGGGGGCCCTTGTCCGAGCCCTCGGTGAAGCCTGTCCTCTCCTTGGCACCAATGGACCTCTTCTGCAGCAGATCTGGGGACAAGATCCCAGTGTTCCCATTGCCACCTCACCTATGCGGGCCCACTACCTCCCCTGCAGGCCATTGGGGCACCCAGTGGCTGCCCATGCCCCCTGCCTACCCTGTCGGGTGGACAGCTCCCTGAGATACTTGGAACTGTACTCAGACGTCATGGAGCGTGGGCCCTGGAACAGTGGTGGAGGGCTGGGGCTCAGGGAGATGCAAACACACAGCCTCCCAGGACATGGGCCCAGGACCCTAGGACAGGGCCAAGTTGGTGTGGGGAGGAGGAGGGACGGGGCACCTCTACCAGGCACTGCTCACATAGCATGCGTTCTCCCGCTCCGGAGAGCCCCTGTCCTGCTGCTGCAGGAGCAGGGGCACGGCCTTGGGCTCCAGCCCCGGTATGGCCTTTGGCCCATGCTCCTGGGTGTCGAAGTGCACCTTCTTGACCTGGCAAGAGGCAAGGAGCAGTGGCTGGCACTTCCCGGCTCCCCAGCTCCCTGCCAGGAACCTCAGTTCCTGTGCCGCCTGCCCCACCCTGGACCCACCTGCCCAGGGCCTCCTTGCTTGCTGTTTACCTCTATATCGCCCCAGTCTCCCCATTCTGTCCTTCCCCTGCTGTCACCCCCAAAGGGAGAGCAATGCCCACTGCATGGGCCCTGGGTATTGTCTCCAGCAGCAGAAGAAAAGAGGAGATACTGGAACCAACTGGATGGGGCAATGAGTGGGTGTCCTCTCTGCTGGCCTCAGTGGTGGCCAGAAGTAGCAACAGTGATGGCAGAAATGAGGATGGTGATGACAATGATGGTGTGGCATCCAGGGGGTGACAGGTGTGGGTAGGGCTGAGCAGCATGGAGAGGGACAGGAGGGAGGGAAGGAGACGACGGCAGAGGGGGTGAGGCAGGGGTTGGGACAGGCCTGTGCTTACCTCCTTAGTGAGAGGCTCCATGCCTGGCCTCTCTCGGCTGTAGCTGGAGCAGCCCTGGTGCATGCTCCAGGGAAGAGGTGTCCGACCATCAGGCCCCTCCCAGGGACCATAGCTCTTGCTAGTCACTGTCTGGAAGGTGTCCTGGATCTGCTCCCTGGGGGCATAAGCAGGAACTGGGACTCAGGAGGGCTCCGCCCTCTAGAGTGGTGTATCGGATGCCCAGAGGCTTGCCCTTCCCAGCCTGTCGACCCCCTGGGAGCTCTATTCCCTGGAATTGGTCCCATGGTCTCCAATGTCCTGAGGGCAAAGACCCAAGTCAGGATCCAGCAGCCTTACCCCATGGCTGGGTTATCCAGGGTATCCAGGCTGGGTTGGTAGGAGACCCAGGGCCGTAGGTTGGACTTGTAGCCGGTGCCCATGTGGCAGCCCCTGTGGGGCTTGAACTCTTCCCGGCCTGCCAGGGGACAGGGGGTGCTAGGACTGGGTCATTGAGGCCCACAGAGCCTTTTTGTCAGAGCCAGCATGACAGGGCCATGACAGTGGGAGATGGGGCCCATGGCTGGGGAACATCATCTTGGGGCAGAGTCGTCATGACAGCAGGGACAGGGATGACAGGACAGGGCAATTCGGCATGGAGCTGTTATTGGGGACTGCAAGCCCACTCCTCTAGGGCCCTCACCGTAAGCTGTGCTGTAGCTGGTGGCATAGAAATTTAGAGGGTCCGTGCAGCCCCCTGAACTCATCTTCACATTTGGGGAGATCACCCCGAGGGGAAGCTTCCCCATCATGGCGCAGCAGGCAGGGGTCTGGGGAGAGGCATGGCTGAGTCAGAGACACCAACAGCCCTATTCCCAGCCCGTCCCCAGGCCCCGCAGCCACTCCACTCTTGGACAGTGCAGGTATCTTTCTGCGCCTCCCCATACCTCCCGAGCTCTTCACACCCCGTTTGAGAAGGAAACATGTTGGGGGCTGGGGATTTAGCTCAGTGGCATAAGCGCCTGCCTTGTAAGCAGGCAGTCATGAGTTCGATCCCCTGGTACCGATAAAAAGGAAAAAGACAAAAAAAAGAGAGAGAGAGAGAGAGAGAGAAGGAAACATGTTCTAATGCCAAGGACTTGCATACACTGCCAGAGCTAGACTGACACCCTTATCTGTTCCAGGCCCCAGGGAATGAAGGACTGGTCCAGAAACCCCAGAGCCTCCTGCCCTACCTCTGGCTCCTCCTCCTGCTCTGCCTCAGCCTTACCTGCCAGACTCTGCTGGGAGGGGCAGAGATAAGCCCTGAGGTAGCCACGCCAGAGTAACAGAATGCCACCTAGCAACAGACACCTAGCAACTGCAGCCCCACACCTCAGAAACTCTGCTGGGGCCCAGGCCAAGGAGGGGCTGACCCTACCAGAAGGAGAGTTACTGTCTGAGTGGCAGGAAATAAAAGATAACACCGTATATCACCGTGTTTATTCCGGGCCACTTCTCACCAGACAGTTCCATCCCCCTCTGCCAGGCAGCTATTATTACCTATTTCTACAGAGCCAGAGGCCCAGGCTGGCTGCCAGACCTATAGAGTCTAGCACAGGGGCCCCAGACCCCACTCCCACCTCTCCAGGGGCTTGCAGGTACTCCATTCTGCCAGCACAGATCAGTGCAAAGCCCACACCCTTGCACCACCCCCAGACTGCCCTGCACCCTGGGCCATGTGTTACATGGCCAAGACACAGGGCTCGGTGAGGGTGCATCCCAACCTGACTGCCAATCTCGAGGGGTGCTGACGATCTGCTCCCCACCTCCAGGTCCCCAATCCAGTGCAGTACCCACCTCCCGCCACTGGCAGATGTGACACACTGAGCCCCACCCAGCAGAGGTGATCAGAGGTGAGGATGGCAGTGACCAAGGCCATGATGCAGGGGACAGGGTCAAGGACAGCTGTTTGGACTTGGAGGTCCCAGGACATCTGGGGGGCTGAAGGAGACATATCATATCTCCATGGGGGCCCATCCAGGGCTCAGGGCCATGGACTGTAGGAATGGACACACAGCCTGCTCATCTGAGTAGACATGACCCAGCATGCACAGAAAGGGAGAGACAGCAGCACCCCTCTCAGTGTGGCAGGAGCTGACGCTATGGATGCATGGGATGGGCCTTGGCTCTGCACAGGTCACTTATGCCTTTGTTTTCCCTCCTAGAAAACAAGGGTATAATGGTGCCTATGAAATGGCAGCCCAACCCTCACCGTGGGGTTAAGTGATGTTCAGACCATAGAAGGCTGAGAACCCAGGCACTGTGGCGAGCTTGCTGCCTGCATGGCCTGCGGGAAACCAGCACATAGCAGTGGGGCCATGTGACAGGCTGGACTTGGCGCCCCAGCCGGCCGCCTGCTCCTGCCACTGGGCTCAGGTTGCCATCTCTGAGCTGCTCTGTCTGGTGTGGGGAGAAAGCCCAGGGTGTGAGGAAGAAGCAGAGGCAGTCCCCAGGGTGCGGCCCACACACAGGCTGTGGCCTGGGCTCTGCCACTGGGTGGAGGCTGAAAGGACTTGTTCAATGCCTCGGGCTGACAATGGATGTGGTTTTTGGCCTCGCAGTGCCACCAAATGGCAGATTGTCAAATAGCAGTACTGACACTGTTGCACCCCTAAGTGAGCCCCTCAGACTCCCTGCACCCTTCTCCCATGATCCAGGTCCAGGCCCAGTACCCGTAAGAGCTGCTGTCAACCACAGTGGGGGGCCACACCAGCCTTTAGGTCTGAGTCCAAGTGGACTCTGGGCTCCTCGGACAGAGCAGGGACCTAAAACCACTTTGTGGAGACCTGTGTGAAGTGCCTTTGTACCTACTATTGGCTGCAGCCACCAACTGCCCAGTGCTTTGAGGTGGGGCTGGCTGCTACTGTGGCCACCTTGGGAAGCTGCCCAAGCCCCACAGGCAAGAGGCTGGGCAGGACCCACACAAACTCAGATCCAATCCTCACAACACCCCTGTAAGGAAGGTCCTTCATGGCATCAGGGCTGTAGCACAGCTGTCACACGCCAAAGTACCCAGTGCTGCCACCTTCTTGTCCTGGACCCACCCAGCCTGGTAATGGCTGCTTCTGAAGGGCCACAGACAAGATGCTAGCCTCAACCAGAGAGGTTGGTGTGAGGCCTGGGCACCCCTGACCTGCACTCCGGCTGCATGGCCACAGCCGCTGAGGAGGACAGACACTAGTGCATGGCCAGTGCCGGCCATGGTGTCCTGCAGTGGCCACTGCATCTTAGTGGTGAGCCATAGCAGCAGTCCCAGAGCACAGGAGAAAGCATCCCAACTGGTCAGCCACCCATGGTGGTGAGCTCCCTATCCCTGAGGCACCCAAGCAGCCTGAACTTCGTGAGGTTGCTAGGAGCAGGTAACCTTGTGTGGGTAGGAACCAACTGGTGGGAAAGGTCCAGGCCACAGGCCCATCATGCTGTCCCCAGCCCCAGGGCTGGAAGGCACTGGCCACTGTGGACTGTTCCAGGAAAAACAGCAAAGAACTTCCTGGAAAGACAGCAGGCCTGGGTTCAATGTATGGAACAGCACCACCTGGGGCAAGGATGCAGTGGCTGGGCAGGGGAAAGGCAGACTCCTTGGGAGAGCTGCCCAGCTTCATTCTGGGGATCCCCTCCCTACAGGTACCCCCTTGGACCCTCCCATGGCTTGGCTCTAGAATCCACACCAGTTAACAAGGCCTTCCTTACACATCTGGGCGCCCAGCTGCGCTGGCAGGGCTTCTACTTTGGAAGGGTTCATGCAGACTGTCAGAGGAGACAACTGGGAGAGCAGACCCTGGGCTCATGGGGCCCTGGGCTCCAGAGCCTCTGCCTCCCACCCTGTAGCTCAGCTGTGGCCCAGGACTGCAGAGGGGCATGTGGCACATTCGGGGGAGCACACAGTGGGGTCTGGGTCACCATGTCAGGGATGTCCTAAATTGCTATCCTGTTCCCCAAAGACTTACTGGGGCTAAGTGAGCTGCCCTTGCTGACATGGAGAATGGAGGTCAATGTCTCACCGTGGCCTGACCCAGCCTGACCACAGCACCTTCCTAGCAGGAAGATAGTGGCATCACATGTGGGAAGGAGGGAACATCCAGAAAGCACATCCACTGGGAAAGTAAAGGAGATCTTGTTGCCGGAGCACTGATGCACACCTGTCATCCAAACTAGCTCATAGATCACAGGTCACAATGCAACCTCCACACTATGCCACGAGAAGCCCAATTTTTACAGATGTAGAAACAAAGAAAGTACAGAGGTGTGAGGATGCCTGCAGACAACCTCATCATGTCAGGGCTGGCAAGGCCAGGGGCCAGGATGGGTCCCAGCACCTGGCTTTGGGTATACAGCAAGATGAGTGTGGGCAGCACCAGCCCCAGGCTGTCACCATGGTGGACGGCAATGCCAGCCCCAAGGGATCTGACCTCCCATTTAGGTGACCCCGTGTCTCCCAACTCCCTCTATGGACTCCTGGCCAGCTCTGGCCAAGGGTGTGTGGCTAGGGAGCAAGGTCACTTCTAGGATGTGCACCATATTGCAATGACATGGAGGCTCTCAGATCCCCCTGTTCTGGCCAGAACTGCCTGCCCCGGGCACACCCCAATTCCTGGGTGGAAGCCCTCACCCTAGGGGATACCCTGGGGCCCAAAAGGCGGTGCCTATGGCCACAGGGAATCCAACAAGGGTAGACCTGGCCCAGTGGGATTAGTGTCCTTGTCAGAAGAGGCCAGGCCTCCTCCCATATCCTGCAAAGACACAGCAGGCCCCAAGGGGTAGGGAGACCTTGTCACAAACCAAGTCTGTGGGCCTCACATCTGCACTTCCTGCTTCCAGCCCAGGAGACCTTACCATTTCAGCTCCGCTGGCAGCACTGTGCGTGCCAGCTGCCAGTGTGGGTCAAATGTATCCCCTAAAGCCCACAGAGAATGGCTCCCATGTGGCCTGGGGCTGTCTAGGAAGGTAAGGAGGGGCCTCTGCATGGCACAGCCATGACCTGTGACAGTCCAGCAGGACCTGAGAGAATAATGGTCAGCCTGCCGTGCCCATGAGAAACTGGCTGGTGCCAGGGCCACCGAGGTCTGGGGCTGAGTCCATTCTGATTGCTGACTGGCTGAGGCAGGTCTGGCTCAGTGCCTGGCAGCTGCTGAGTACTGTGCTATCCACTCAAGGTCCCTGGGAACACTGGAGGCTTGGCCAGCTGGGGTGCTATCCCTCCTCCTCCTGATTCCTGGTGACAGCTGGCTCTGCCCCACATTCCCCGTGTCTTTTGCCCTGTATGCCAGATCCTCGGCTGCAGCCTCAGAGAGCGAGAGCCAAAATACACTTCTCATGTTAATCATCTCAGTCAATAACGGGGACCTAAAAGTGATGTCACTTCAGACTTCAGCGCACACCATGCACAGCTGTGCATGCCTGTCATCCCAGCACTCGGGAGGCTGAAGCAGGGGGATGACTCAAGAGTTCAAAGCCAGCCTGGGCCTCAAAGTGAGACCCTGTTGCAGACTGGTCATGGGGCCTGGTGGGGAGCACAGGACTGAGGCAGTGGCTGAGCTGGGTTAGCAGGCTTTGGATCCAAGCAGCAGCATGTGCTCCCCGAGAGTGTGTTCCTGGTGGCCCCGAGGGACACAGACAGTGCCTCTTGCGTGGTGACACCCAGCCAAGGCTGGGGTGTTGCCGGCCAGCACAGCTTCCACAGGTCTCTGCCAGTGTCCATCACATCTGGTGTCCCAAGTGGCTACAGCGCCCCCTATCGGTCCTCAGAGGATGCACGCAATGAGCAGGATACACCCCTCACACACAATCACAGGGTCCTGTGAGGACAGAGGACCAGGCTGCCTCCCAACTCTAACCAGCGCTTGACCCACGAGTACCACCCAATGCTAGGTGCATAGCACCACCATCAGAAGGTTCCTGCTGGTGCTCAAGAAACAAGCAGTCCCAAAGCTTTTGGGTAAGACTTCTGAGCATCACTTCCTTGGCTTGGGCCTGCTGCCCTCTTGGCTGAACTGCATACCTAACGCTGCTTCTCCTGAAGCCTTCCCTTTGGAGTAGCTGGGGCCAGGTGATAAGGGCCAGGCATGAGACGAGCCCCAGCCATCTGCACAGGGTGAGGGCCTTGCAGCAATGGCACATGGTTTGGCCCAGTCTCCCCAAGCAGCATCCCCTAAGCCATCACCATTGCTGTGGGTCTGCCACTTGGGACCCACTAGCAGGATCTGGGGTGAGGAAGCCTGAGTGGAAGAGGAGCTGGGATGGACCAGGTGACCCCAGATGCCCTAGCTGCCTCCAGACTGCTCCCTGACTCCTGCCTGGGACTGTGCAAAGGCACCATACCACAGTGAGCCTCGGAGCCATGGTACTTGCTCCTACTGAATGACGTCACAGAGCAGGCAAAGCAGTATTCATTGCAGTTCCTTGCAGTGCCAGGCAGGGTGAGTAGTCCAGCTACCATTAAGGCAAGGACTGCCAAGGTGTTGGTACCAAGGGGCTGCTGCCTGGCTACTAGACGGGCCACATCTTTCTCAGATGAGTGCAACTTACAGATTCCCAGGGGACAGGGCAGGGGAGGGCACCAACAGTGCTCCTGGTTCTGGGCTTGCAGGTGTCACCATTGGCTTCCCTGGGGCTGCAGGGCAGAAAGCTTGGCACCCCTGGTGCAGCAGGAACCCACTCATAAGGGACAGTAAATGCCATGTCCCTTGTACCAGTGCTGAGGAGCTTCCTGTCAGCAGCCTGCTAAGCTCACGTTCACACATGGATCCACGGCTGCACCACCACGGCGGTAGTGACAACCTACAGGTAGTCCATGGCTGGGACCAGGGGACCTTGTGCCCCTGGGGTGCTGTGCGGGGGCCAGGCCCAACTTTTAAGATTAGGAGATATTTAGGAAGAGAGCAGCCTTTGCTGACACCAGCACCTCTGTGGGACTATGACCCCGAGGTAGGCATGGCAGGCAGGGCAAGGAGAGAAAGGAGGGGCCGAGAGTATGGGCTCCAGGGAGGTTGGTCCAGTCTGCCAGGCTCAGCCATGAGTCCTGCTTTGTGCCCAACCTGAAAGCTGCTGGCCCTCACTGTGCTGCACTATGAGTTCCTTGGAAACGCACAATAGCCAGCCTATTTTGACAATGTCTAATAAGGGGAAAAACTGTGCACAGTACCCTGAGTTAACACTAAACAGCCTCAGTTATTAGATCTGTTGCCTTCAGAGATGACAAAAGCCAGCAGCTCAGGAAGAAAACAACTCCTTTAAGAGCTGGCCAGCTGTTCCCACGTGCCCCCACAGGGTTGAGCCTGATGCTACAGGAGGCAAACTCAGGGGATCAAGGCACCAGAGCCCATACTGCCTACCTTACTTCTGGGGTCTGCTGTGTAACACGCTTGGGTGGATGAGGGGCTGCTGCCAGCCTGTGCGCATCTGCGACCCAGACACATTGCTGTATACAAACCCTGCCACTAACGTCTGCTGGAATGGCACCAGTGCCCCAGGAACAGCATCTCCAGGAGCTCCTGCCTCTACCCCAGCGCCCTCCTGCATCTTGCTTGGGTGACAGTGCCAGGCTCTTCCCTGACTGTCATCTGAGTCCATGTGCTGTCCAAGGTCACCTGCTGCATGGTCAGCGTAACGGGCTCGGCTTTCAGATCTGCAGGTGAGACCATCCCACACTCAACCACAGTGGCCTTGCCACTGGCCAGGTACACTAGGCAGTGATTGGCAGGGCTTAGGCCCAGGGGAGGCCAGATAGAAGCTCCTGCTCAGGTAGCCTAGTGCGATCACATGCAGGGTACCACCAAGGGCCCTGCAGTTTCCTCTCGCTTTTCGTATCCACCTTTCCCCAAAGGAAGAGAGAGAAGCTGAAGATGAGGAAGCCGAGGCCCAGGCCAGCCAATCTGCCCCACCTGCTGCCAGTGCACTGCACTGCCCCTTCACTTCCACAGTATCGCTGGCTTACTCAGGGTTGCTGGGTCAAGGCCATGTCCCCGAGACAGTGACTCTTGCCACCACTCTGCCAAGCACAAAGGCCTGCCAGACTTCCAGCAGGAACACCACAAGCTCTGGGGCATTGGCACTGCACTCACTTTGTCTTTGCCCGTGGATAGTGCAGATGGAGGGCCAAGGCTTGCAGGTGACAGGCAGAAGCCAGGTGTGCACTGCCATCCCTCCTGAACAGGAGACCCAGAAGCTCACAGCACAACTCTTGTTCCAGCCACCGAGTGGCATTCTCACCAGCCAGGGAGAAGCTACCAGGGAGAGCCTGGTCACACTGTGAAGCCCTCCAGGCCTGGCGTGGAACACCAGCTGACCTTGAGTTAATGCTGGTTAGGCACCACTGCTGGTAGCCACTGGCATCAGGAAGACTGTGGGAAAGGGGTATGTGCCGCATAGCTGCCCCAGAGGAAAAGCCACACTGCAGCCATACCTATCTCCATGAACACTTGGCCATGAGTGATACAAGAATGCACCAGACAGAAATCCCCATGAGGTCAGGACACTGCCCGTGCCTCATCCTTTACTGCTCGGCTTGCTCTCAGTTACACAGTATGCACTAGAGGAAGTGTGGAATGGGGTTCGTCCGTCCATGAGCCATCCATCATACTGCCCTGCTCTATCAGGCTTGCCTTTGAGTGGGTAGACTTGGGTCAGCATTCTTGGGAGTGAGGACACAGCAGGCTGGAAGGGGGGGTCACTTTAGCAAAGCAGGAGAGGGGGCAGGTGGTAGGGGCTCTTCAGGCAGCAGGGTGGCCCAGGTCATCTCTTGTAGGCCCACATGAATAGAGCCACAGTGCCCTCTTGTGGCTAGCCTGCACATGGCAGCCAGGCAAAACATACTGGGTGGCCTGGGAGCACGGTAACAATGGCGACTGTCCAGTGAGTGCCTACTGACAGGGGCACATGCTGTCGCCCCCGGCTGAGCCCTGTGCTGGCAGCAGCACCCAGCTCAGCGCTGCTCTTCAAACAGGTACTCTAGATCCGGGGCGCGCAGCCGCTGTTCCCTGTTCCTATTCTTCGCAAAGTCCCTCAGCAGGGCCATGACTTCATTCTCAAATATCTCCGGGGCCGGCTTGGCTTCTGCAAGACAGGAGGGTTATACATCAGTGATCAGGGCTCAGGTGTGAGGACCGAACACCTGCACGCTAGTCTTGCTGAAAACTACAGATGGCAACAAAGGCCACCTCTGCCCTTCTCCTGAACATTGGTGACATGGTGGGACCCCTGCACTCTGACACAGCTGCTTCCACCTGCTCAAACAGTCTGGGACCACACCTGGGTGAGATATGCAGGGCCAGCAGCTACAACAGTGACAAGAGACAGTGTGGCCTCAACACGACAGGCCTTACTCTGTCCCTGGAGGCCACTCTGCTGACCCAGCCTGCCCAATCCTGGCTGGGTCACTGCCCCTAGCACTGGGCTTTTGGTGTTCTCTCCATATCTGTGGCTCTGCTATCTGTGGTTTCAGTTCCCTGGGGTCAAACCTGCCTGAAAATATTCAATGAAAGTTCAGGAGGTAAGCAGATTGGCGCTGCTTGTGGTTCTGACGCAATCTCACAGCTCACCCATTCCTGGCATGCATCATCCTGTCTTAGGGGCTGCACTGTGCCTGCTCCTTCCTGCCCCTGGCTCACCTGGTAGCCACCTCCCTTCACAGTCTGACTAGTACAATCGGGGCACGCGTTCTTGTGATCCTGATTTACTTCATAGGGTCTGGGAACACGAAGGTCATGAAGCCAAGGGGCCACAGGGCACACATGGAATGGCAGGTGAACTCCAGCGCAGTGCAGCAGAGCTGCTGGACGCCAGACAAACATGCAGCACTCATGCCACCCAGTGGCAGGCTCCCAGGGAAGGGTCCTGGGCACATGGGATCTCCAAGCGTACTTATCCAAGAGCCCTACTTTCTGTGACAGTCAGAGCCAAGACTGTAAGTGACAGAAACTAAGAGCCAGTACCATAAGCAGGAAACACTTCACTAGAAGGACACTGGTGGCCCAGAGAGCCAACATGAGCCTGGAGACACAGGCCTGGCACAGACACGAGCCTGGCACAGGGACAAGCATTAAAGTCACCAAGAGCATGGGGACCAGAGCGGCAGCCTTGGGCAGCACCATCCCCCTGCAAGGCTTGGAGTGTGCCTGGGCATCAAGGAGAAAGACCTTAGTCAGCACCACGCTGGCACCTAGAGAATGACCTGGGATTTGGTGACATCAAGGTAAGATCAAGGCTTCTCCCTAGGACAAGAAACAAGACAAGCCAGAGATGACAGGCATTGAAACTCTCCCAGAAGGGCGGACAGACAATGCGTAAGGGAGGAGGGTCCCTGGAAGGACAGACACCCGAACCTGCTGCCCAGGACAGGGCAAGGGAAGGATACACTGGTGCACACAACCGCGAGAACATCTTGGCCCCAGGTGCCAACAAGGTGGACAGAGTGAAAGCCCTAGGAGCCACAGACCTGTGGACGCGGGCAGGGAGATAGCAGGCTGCCTGTCCCTCAGAGAAACCTGCCACGTGGCCCCTGTCCTTAGAACCCTGGAGGTGGCTGAGCGGAGAGTTGCTGAAGCTGAGGGCCCAGGAAAGACCAGTAGCACCAACCACAACCTCAGGCCACAGCCTCCTTCTCTGGATGTCCTGAAGGCAACCAGGTGAAAATAATATCCAAACCAAGCTCAGCCACTCACAGTAACAGTCTAGGACATCGCTGTGCCTTTTGGCACATGTGCCACAGCCAGCTGTCGGCTATCATGATGGCTCTAGAAGGTTCACCGTCACTGGCTTAGGAGAAGCATGCCCAGCTTAAGGCACTAACACCAGACACCTACCAGAAGAGCTGACATGCAGCAGACAACAATGCACCATACAGCCACAAAGGGAGAGAGGACCATCAGGTGAGGGCAAGCACAGCATGTATGGGGGTGGTGTGGGGGTGACGTGTGGGTGCCAGCAGCTGGGAACTGAAAGTCATCAGGGCTGCTGCAGCCAGGCTAAAGGAAAGGAAATCCAAACCTGTGAGCAGGTGAGGAATCCAGCAGCAGGCTAGAAACTGTGCAAAGCCAATGGATATGTGAAAAGTAACAGCAACGGGAATGCAGGACATCAACAGGCTCACCACAGGAGCTGATGGGAGTAAGGAAAGAACTGGTGGAAGACAGGGCAGGAGGTGGAGCCTATAGTGAGCTGCAAAAGGATACTCAGAGATAGGACATGAAAGAAATCTAAGAGCTGGGGATAAGGGTGAACTGCTCCAAGTACAACTGGAATCCCCAGAGGAATGGCATTAACAAGACCAAAGAGAAAATGGCTGGGGATGTCCCCAAAACACAGCTAGAGATGCTAACTCAACAGGCCCAATGCACTGAGCAGGCTCAATACCAAAAGGTTCTGCCCCGACCCCTGGTACTTGGAGCAGGGGGGCGGGGTTGTGAAGGGGGGCCCTGTGCTCACCCCATTCTGCCTTCCACACAGGCTCAGGCCATGGGGCCACCTAGCCATGGAATGGGACCTCTGAAACTATAAGCCAGATAGGCCTTTTCTAAGTCAGCTGGCTTATGCCTGTAGACAGCCCCAGCTATTCACAAGGCTGAGGCAGGATGACTGCTTGAGCTCAAGAGCTCAGGGCTAGCCTGAGCAACACAGCAAGAGCCACACGTTGCCCTCCGGGCACCACCTCCACCTCATGTTAGAAGTGCTGGTGCCTCTCACTGTTTCCTTCAAATTAAAGTATATTCTGATTTTCCTTCCACTTTCCCTGGCCCATGCATTGTTTAGGTTTTTGCATCCTAGGAATTTCCAGAATTTCTGTGGTTGATTTTAGGCCCAAAACTTGGACATCCTGACAAAGGCCCATGCATTGTGGGGTGTCTCATAAATTAAAATAAACAAAATCTTTCTTTCTCTTTACAGGCCAATTATCTCTGGTGTCTGTCACAGTAAAGAGCACTAGTGGTGCCAACGGAACACTGGAAAAACTGGTGCAGATGTTGTGTCCAGAGAACCAGGGCTGAAAGCCCTCTCCTCAGACACCAGAAGAGAGCCCTCCACCATCCCAGTCCAGTTACTACCAGCCCCAAGATGCAGGGACCATCAGCAACAGAGATGGCCAGACACAGCTAAAGGGAGGCAGTTCATCATCAATTCAGAGCAAGGACCAAAGGGGAGCAGTGAGCACACCACTGCTGACCACAGGCCCAGCCTCCAATCCAGGAGCCCCCAGATGGGCAAGGGGGAAACCAGAGGAGCATGGCAGATGTGGACAACAGGTGACACCCAGACATGGGCTGCGGCCAGGACAGATGCCTGTTTACCTGTACCGTGCACCCCACAGTGCATGGGCCTTTATCAAGATGCTCAAGTTTTGGGCCTAAAACCAACCACAGAAACTCTGAAAAATTCCTAGGATGCAAAACCTAAATAATGCATGGGCCAGGGAAAGTGGAAGGAAAATCAGAATATACTTCAATTCGAAGGAAACAGCGAGAGGCACCAGCACTTCTAACATGAGGTGGAGGTGGTGTCTGGAGGGCAATGTCTGGCAGGAAACCCTCAGCCCAGTGTGAGGCCATCCAGGAGTAAACCTCACCCAGAAATCAGAAATGCACAGTAAGCCAAAAGCCGGAGCAGGAAAGGAAATAATGAGGAGCAGAAATCAATGACTTGAGAACAGAAAACAACAAAATAAAAGCCAGTTCACAAGATAAATAGGATGGCAACTTCTGACCACTGTTCAAGGAAGAAGGGGAAACCCTCAGTTACCATAACTGAAACAAAAGGGCATCCCCGATTGCTCCTTAGATATTGAAAGAATGACAGACAGATGGTACCAGAGCTCAGCGAGGTGGCAGGCGTGGGCAGTCTGCTGGCCCCGCAGTGCATGTGCACAGAGGTGATCATCTCCACTGACCAGCTGCGTGAGCTACAAAAACGCCACTGGGAGATGGGGAGGGGCAGTGCCTGTAGCCTGCAACTCAAATACATCTCTTTTGTCTTGACTGTTCCACTGTCTGGGACCCGTCCCACTCCACCCCAGCCGGGATTCTCTCCCACCTTCTCTTTGATTTTAGGCAAAGTCCATTTCTACTCTGTCTCGTAAACAAAGAATCTAGACCTCATCATCTTAACCTTAATGTGCAAGTTTTGCACATCTTGGTAACATTTGCACAGTGTTAGGGCTGAATGTCTACTACGTGAATAAAAGAACAAAACTGCCCAGGATTTAATTTCAGATGCAGCTCAGCCTGAGTTATCTTACTTTCACAGTATACTGCTTTTCGTGGCCAGTACCTGTGGCCCAGTAGTAAATATCCCAGTCATTACTGGGCTCATTAATCAGGCGATCATATAGATTCAGCTGCTTCTCTGTCATGCGGTGCAGATGTTCTTTAGCAAAGAGGCTAAAAACAAGAAAGAGAAAGAAGTTGAAAAGACGGTCTCCAGTCTGGAGGAAGTGACGCCCAACGCCTTTGCCTGCACCTGAGGAGGATGCAGTTCTCCAACATTCCCCTCTTCCTGCTCTCATAGAGGAGGCGTGCTCGCTTGGTTTCTATGGATTCATCTGTTCTCTCCTGCCACGGAGGCAAGGGGATTTCAAGCATGTCTTTTTGAGAATCTGTTGGACTGTCACCTCTGTAGAAGCATTTGAAGGATGTCACACTGCACAAAGGAGACAGGAAGCTGTGCCTTGAGAGAACCTGAAACAAACAAGCATACAGACATCTTTACTATAACAATGACCGCCACCACCAGGGTCCCATTGACTGACTGCTAAGGAGGCACTGCCTACACCAGGCCTTATTTAGTTTTAGGAGGTTACACTGACATAGTTCCCAATTTCAGCCCAGGAATCCAAGAACTCAAGGCTCAGAAAAGACAAAGAGTCATCCAGATAGAGCTGCAAAACATAGTTCTTAACCAGTTTCTCTAGAACTTGTCCCAGCAGGACTATCTCCTCCTTTCTTTATTTTCCTGGCAAAGTCTTACATATGAAGTTTTTGTTCTGGTCACTTGTTTGTGTTAGACCCTGAGGATTCCCAGAGGGCATGGTCATTCCTCTCCCAATCTAGAAGGGCCTGAACTATCTGATAGGGGTTAGGGATGGCAGAACAGGAGCAGAGCAAAAACCCCAGAGCCTCCGTCCCCGAAGGGAGATGCAGATGATTCTGATTTGGAGAAGCCCAGGAGCGCCCGACGACTGAGGAACCCACCCTTGTGCACTGAAGCTGGAGGGTCAGTGGCCACTCTCACCCCAGCCCAACGTGATGGGAGAACCCCATCTCCTGGTTTCTGCATGGGCAGGGGCAGTGTTCAGACTCTTTAAGGGTTGCCTACGGGCTGGCGTCATAGTTGGTGTTCCCAAAGTGCCACAGGAAAGATCACCTGCTGGGGCCCAGAGGATATGGGTAACAGGCACTGCTTGCTGGAGTCCCCACCCCTGGGCTTACTGTTTCTGTTCTTACAGTCTTAAGCCACTGACAATCGGCGCTCTATGCCCAGAGGCCACTGAAAACAAAAGACAGTTAGATGGCTTGCAGCTTAGCTGGGGACAGCTAGCATTTGAGAGGCTGAGGCAGCACAGAAGGTGGCAGGGTAACCCAGGAAGCTACAGCACTGGTTTTGTGGGCACCTGAGGGGTGGGCGCAGGCTGACCTGGCTTCTGCAGCAGCCAGGGGTGGAGAGGGAGAGCTGAGCTGCTGCAAAGAAACTCTACCCACACACAGCCGCCAGAGGCAGCAGGAGACACAGAGCCCTTGGAAAAGAAATCCTCAAGGGGGTAGGGGTCAGGGAAAAAAATAAAAATAAAAAACCAAGCTATATCACACGTGGGTGTAAATTCTCTATGACAAATGTAATCATTACCTATATCTAAAATGTACCAATAAAATCTAAAACTCTTCAGATCCATCTAATTAGAAATGAACAGCCTTGGAGTGGGAGTGGACACTTATTCTCCACCCAAAAATGGGGCTGGGGGCCCTCAGCCAGCTGAGTGATACAGGTTTGTCCTTCCAAGGAGGCTAGTCCATAAAGCTGGGCGAGAGGGGCTTTTTCATGTACAGATTTCATTTTTTTGTTGTTGTTGCCTTGTTTCTTTTTTTATAATTTTATTTAAAGAAAGACTAAACAAAACAGAAAATAGGTAGAAATAATACATATGTTTAGAGAAATAAACAATAAAAAATTGCTAGTTGATGTTTACATATTGTCGTTTTACAAATAATTGTTCAAGATACAAAAATGAAACATGTAAAGTGGGAATTCAAACAGTGAGACTGCAAACAGTCCTGTTCAACTGTCCAACAAAAACTTAGTAACATGGTTGTCAATCCTAAACACTTAAAAATACATGCAGTTATCCATATCTTCACTTATGTTTAGATTAAACAAACTGAAGCAGGTTAAAATGATTCTGAACAAAGAATGAAAGTATTGCTGGATTTCACATCATGACACTCTGTGATCAGCACTGGGTACTCTAGTGTCTATTTTTTAACTTAATTTAAAGAAAGACTAAACAAAACAGAAAACGGGTAGAAATACTACATAATTTCAAAGAAAAAAAATAAACAGTAAGAAATCACTAGTTGATGATTACACATTGTCTTCCTACATATACTAAAGATACTAAAGTGGAGCATATAAAGTGGGGATTCAAACAGTGAGACTGCAATCAGTTCTGTTCAACTATCCAACAAAAACTTAGAAACATGGCTATCAATCCTATACACTTAACATACATGCAGTTATCCATATCTTCAATTATGCTGAGATTGAATAAACCCAAGCAGGCTAATATCACTCTGAACAAAGAATACTACTACTGCTGGTGGGTTTCACATTATGACATTGCAGGATCAGCCCTGGGTATCTTAGTGTCTCTTTTTTTTCAAAGTATCTCTTCATTTCATCATGTGTTATAAGATCAGTTCTCATAAACTGTCTATAGATTCTACACATGCATGAGTCTTAACATGTATTTCTATCCTTTCTATATTAGAGGGAGAAATAAAACAAAGCAAGACAAAACAAAACATATTCCTATAAACACATGAAATGAAATAAACATCTAAGACCCTTGTACTGAGAGTTCTACCATGGTTCCTGTGTTGTCTCGTTATCTCCAATAGAATTGGCTGTATCTTCAGACATAGTATAATTGAATATATCAGTACATAACAGTATTAATAAAAACATAACTTTGTATATAGTATAGAACTTCAAAAACTGGCAGTTATCAAACCAGAATGTGCATCTCTACGATATCTTCATCTTCAGTGTAGCTGCCTATACTCCCAGACTTGATACTATCAATCATATCAGTTTTGAATAAAATCTTCTCTGCCTCATTTCTGTTATGCTCTTTTTTTGTCATCAGCTGTCTGCTTATCTTCCTCATTCCGTTTTCTGCTCCATTCATTGAGGCCTCTCTGCCACTGTTCCTGGAATCCTAGTACTTTTTCTTTCTCTCTAGAATGCCCTGCAGTATTCTCTGTAGAGTTGGATTGGTAGTTGCAAATTTCCCAAGTTCCTCTTTGTCTTGGAAGCATCTTGCTTCTCCATTAATTTCTAGTGACAGTTTAGCAGGGTATATCAATCTGGGATGGAGGTTATTTTCTTCCAGGGGTTGGAATATTTTGCTCCAGGCTCTTCTTGACTTGATGGTTTGTGTCGAGAAGTCTGCCGTTATTCTGATAGACCCTCCTTTATAGGTGATCTGTTTCTTGTCTCTAACAGCTTTTAATATTCTGTTCTTATATTGAATTTCTGGGATCTTGATTATTATATGCCTGGGTGTAGCTCTGTTTTGGTTGTAGGTGTCTGGAGTTCTGTATGCCTCATATATCAGAATATCATTTCCTTTTCCTATGTTTGGGAAGTTTTCCTTAATTATTTCTGTGAATAACCTTTGTAGTTCCTTTGTTTGTACCCCAGCTTCTTCATTCACATTCTTTATTCTCAAGTTATAGATCCTCTTATCATCTTCTAGCCTTTGTATTGTTACTGCTTGTTTCCTTGTTATTTTTAAAAAGTTTTCCCTTTCATACTCCCACATTGCAAAATTGTCCTCCAGTTTGGAGAATCTATCCTTACTTTCTTTCAAGCTGATTTGCCATCTTTCCATAGAGTTTTTAATTTCCTGGTAATGTCTTTGAATCTGCTTCATGTTCTATATTTTTTATATTCTTCATCAAATGGTTCTCTCCTTTTGAGTTCCTCCCTTCTTCCATCTGTGTCTTCTTGAGGGGTGCTTAGTATCTCTTTTATTAATCTTCTTTTATCTTGCTTTACTTGGCTATTTCACTTTTGAACTTGTCTATGAGGTCCTGAATGTATCTCTTTATGTCCACTCGTGCTGTGTCTGATATTTCATGTTTGCTGTTCTCATTCTCCTTTGTATTTACCTGTCGGGGTCAATGTTCTCAGCGTTGGTACCTGGGGACTTTTTGTTGTTGCTTTTTCTTCCCATCTTTTTCGCTTCTTCAAGGAGGCCCCAGTTTCTTTGTTTGTTGGGTACAATTCTTCTGAAGCACACTGGCTAGATGACCCTTCCCACTGCCACGTGCTAGTGAGTTGCAGACAGGGACAGCGTATGCTGGACCCTCCCCTCCGGATCAGTCAACTGCTATGGCCTGCACTGTATTACTATGCACTGCCTCCCCTCCTGGTCAGTCAAGCTGCTGTGGCCTGCACTGTATTACTTTGTACGCCTTTCCTCCGGGTCAGTCAAGCTACTGTGGCCTGCACTACATTACTTTGCACCACCTCCCCTCCAGATCAGTCAAACTTCTGAGTCTTCACTGGGTTAGTGTGGTTAGTGTCCACCACCGCTGTAGGGACTTGATTTTGGATAACCTATTGGGTCTCAGCCAGGTCATGTGACCCAGGCCTAGCTCACTCCACCAATCCCATTCGGGAAGGGAACAACTGACTGAAGTCACTGCTGCCCCTTGTACTTGCCAGTCCTTCCCAGTCCCAGAATATCATCCACCAGAGCCCCTCTACTTATGGAATGGCTCCACTCCCGTCACTCACCACAGGTCGATGCAGGCACCTGCCAACTCAGCTTTCTGTTCAGCTCTCCGTCCCCTGAACTCAATGTAACTGCGCCTCCAGTAAGACGAAGCAGCGGGACCTCGGATGGTCAGCAAGTCGCCCACTGTGGCGGGAACACTGAACCTTTAGCTGTTCCAATAATAGCACTGGGACTGTATGTTTGGTTGATTCTTCTCCCTTAATTTCTTCTTGGGATGAGAGAATTCATCTCCCTTTGTTTGGGGCTCCCCACTCTGTATTATGTTGAATTCTAAGTTGACTATCTCAGGAAGCCTCTGTAGCCAGTTGTTATCTATCTACCATCTTTGCTCCTCCTCCCCCTGTTGTCTTGTTTTTTGGGACAAAGTCTCACTATACAGCCTAGGCTGGCCTTGAACTCAGCAATTTTCCTGTTGCTACTTGCCAAGTGCTGGGATTACTAACATGTACCACCACACTGGGCTACATGCAGAGGTTTGAAGGCAAACTTGCAATACAAATTTGTACATGCTTAAATAGCCAGCAAAACATGACCAATCAGAGAGCCAAAATGTACCTCTGGGAGCCAAGCCTGAAGTGGCAGAGGTATGGGAACCATCTAATGAAAAATGTAGAGTAACAGTGGACCCTTGACTTATGAATTCATGAAGGCTGGATGTAA